TCACGGCCCAGAGAACAAGTCACACAGAGTGGCACTCGAGAGGAGGGTGGGGACCCACCAGGAGTGACAGGAAGGCCAGGACCAAGCAACTCTGCAAAGGAAACACCCCGATTCCTCGGGTACCCTGGACTCAGGAAGGGTACCCGCCTTCCGGTCCCCAGCACTGAGCATGCCCCACAGAAGCTTAAAGGTCTAGCAGGGAGCACTCATCACCAGGACTCCGGTACCCACCGCCCCTGTGCATCCTGGCCAGCTTGAGTCCTCCTGCCGGACAGACCCCAGAGGCCACACAGTCGCTATGTCAGGCCTGCTGACCCACAAAATAAAGCATTTTCTCACCACCTCGCTCGCCTCTCAAAGCAAAACCATCTGAGTGGAATCATTAACAGGGTCACGCAGGAGGGGAAAGTCCGTATGTGCTGGCAGTCGGCCAGCGTCTTCCAGTGTTTCTTCCTGTGGCCTAGGTGGGGCAGCCGTGCACTGCTAGACGTGCAGTAGCAGACACTGCTGAGCAGTGCCAGTGGAGCAGGGACAGAGCAGCCACCCACAAGCATGCAGTTTCCCAGCAGCCCCAGGAGGAACACGGCTCCCCCCGCCGCCTGTGCCCCGCCACAGTGCCACACCACCCTGCTGCCTGGCTTGCCCTCTTGCACCCGGCCACCTGCGAGTTTCAGCTGGCTGGCATCCCACAGTCTCCCCTTCTGGGCCCAGACACAGCCTGCATTTCCGGGCCGGCTTAGACAGGTGGCGCCGATGACCTCAGGGGAGCTCTGGGGAGCTGCAGCGGCTTCCCCCCTCACTCTATGATATCTCCCGCTTCGGGAGGCCAAGACCTCACATGAAGCTGCTGCCACCTTCTAACAGCACCAAGGAAGAAGAAACAGAGCATCTCTGAAGCAACTACTCACGGGGAGGCACTGCGCATCAAAGGGCCAGGCTGCTGGGAAGGCTGTGATCACAGACCACCTGGCTCTGCCACCGACTTAATGCCTGGCTTCCCAGCCACACTGGGTCTGTCCGGGTCTGTCCACAGAATAGGGCCCAACACGCAGGGAGGCCTCCTCTAGCTACCAGCCCGACTCAGACCAAGGCCGGCCAGCATCCTGGGGACACTGGGAAAACAGTACTCTCTGCAGGCAGGACCTGGAGCTCTGAACCCAACTCATCTGCCTGACCCACTCGTCACAGAGCGCAGCGAGCAGGAGCCAGGCTAGGCCAAACCCGGCCTACCACGCTCTCACCAGTGTGGGAGGCACCTTGGGGCTGCTGCGAGGGAAGAGGACACTTGGAAAAGGGCCTGGCTCTGGCCATGCTCCGGTCACCCTGCCCCAGTCGGGGGCCCCCAGCTCTCCTGCCTGTCACACTTCTGTGCATGCACATCCTACGCTGCCCAGGCCCAGCCGGGGGTCGGCCACTCTGCAGCGACCCTGGTCCCTACCAAAGCTTCTGCCTTCCACCCATCTGAAAGCCACGAGGCCATTCTGGGGCTGCGCAGGAACCGCAGGCTTCCTAGCCACTTCTGCGGGGCCTGCCTGCCGGCTCCCCCACCCTTCCGCATCTTCACACCTGCCACGTGAGGCAGCAGGAGGCCGGGCGACGTGATTAAATCCAGGTGGTGCCTTTGCTCCGTGCTGGTGTCCGCTGCTGCAGCTGCAGCTTTCATCCCCCGCGGCCTCTCCGGCGCGGGCCCGCCCCTCCTGCTCCCCATCCGGGGTTCCGCTTGCTCCCTGCCATTTTGCTCTGGCTCGTCTTCCCGAGGCTTGTTCACTGAGTATCAGTGAGGAGCACGCCTGGAAGCTCTGGGCTGCCTTGCAGACCCGGGCTTGCCCCAGCCAGCTTCCCCTCTGGGCCTGTCTCACTCCTTCCTGCTCCGGGTCTTTCCTCTCTCCTACTCTGCACTTCTGGCTGCCTGCTCAGCGGCTTCCTGGGAACCCTCCTGGCCCTCCTCTGGTGCAAGGCTCGGCTCCCGATACCCCGATGAGGCTGCCGCTGCCCCGCCAAGGCTGCGGGCAGCTGCTCATCGCTGACATCTTCAGTCTGCTCAGCGGAGCAGCTCTTACCATCAGCGCCTTGCGCCCCCTCGCTCTGTGGTGCCCTCCTGTCAAGGGCACCTCTGCAGATGACGGCAGCAGCACAGGCCTCGCCTGGACACTCTCCACCTGCTCTGCTTTGCTCAGAACCATCTCGCTTTGATTTCCGAACCGAACCTGGGTTTCCCTGGTGGGACCACTCTGTTCCTTCAGCTCTCAGACCTTCCAAACCATGACCACACCCAGCAGTTCCCGCAGCTGTGCCCCGCCCCGCCCTCAGGGTCACCCTCTTCCTTCCTGGAGGTCTCCCCTCGTCGCCAGAGTCCAGCGACGCACTATCAGTGTTTTCTGAGCACCTGGCTTGGAGGCCGTGTGGCTTGCTCTCTTTCTTGCTAGGCCAGTGCAGTCAAAGCCTTCCGAGCCACAGCCATCAGCTGTCCCCTATCCCTGCCCTGCCCACCTGGCTCCGGACTCCACAGCAGCAGGGCAGGTGGGTGACGCACACCACAGTCCTCCGAGGGCCCCAGGGCCGGCACAGGTTGGAGCCCCTGACATACCTGACTAATCAATGGAATGAACCAAGAAATTCATAAAATCTCACAGAAAGCAGAAAGGCAAAGGGAAGCTCCAAGGTTAACCCACCACACAACTGCCCCCACCGGACCTCAGAGGCTAAGAGGACGCCGAGGCAGGCTGCATGTCCAGAGCCTCCCCTGCGAGCAGGGTGCCAAGCCACGCTGAGCCCCAGGCCGGGGCCACACAGGCCACAGCGTCTCGGGCAGGTGGCTCCACCTCGGCTCCCAGCTGGAGCGCAGGAATAGCCTCGGGGTGGTCAGGGTCACAGCACCCGTGTGAAGAGGCACCGCCATGCAGGACATGCAGCCAGCTCCCCATCTTCAACCTCGCTCTCTGGGCCACACTTGACACTGGGGGTCACAGGTCCTTCGCAGTCCGGGGACAGTTACTCTGTGCTTGTCTCTGGCAAGGGCGTGGGCCATCAGCACCCTTTGCTGAACACAGCTGACTCGATGAAGGGCAGGGGACACCAGCAAAAGCCAGCAGAGGGTCTTCCCCAAGGACTTCCCATCAGGCCGTGATGGCATGAACAGGGCTCAGGAGGACCACTGGGGAGATGGAACATGAGGCAGGAGAAGGTGACGAAGAGGCCCAGGGCGGGCTTACTGGGGCCACCAGGGGCAGCACCAGCCACAGGAGAGGCAGTGGAGCCCCTGCATGGCCAGGTGGAGGGACCTGGGCCCTCAGCCGCGGTTCCCAGAGGACTGTGCGGGATCAGTGGTGACCATGGGGCAGGAAGACAGGCGCCGCCCTGCTGCCCCACGCTGTGAGCAGCACCAGAGGAGCCCAGTGCTCCCACCGGCAGCTCTGTCAGTAACCAGGTCGTCAGACACAGGCTCCGGTGGAAAGTGACAAGCGCGCACGGACTGTGCTGCAGCTGACCCATTCACAAACAGGCTGACGAGCCTGTGCTGGACGGCACGCGTCCCACCGCCACTCAGCATCCGGCGGCTGACACTGGGCACTTAGCACGGTTTACACTGTGCCTCGGTCTCTCCTGGGGGGGCTACATTCTGGAGCAAAGATAAAAACTGTGAAAGCATTAACAAAAGGAGGGAAGTGATGAGCCGGGGCTGGGGCTGGGCCAAAACGCGTCTGCAGTGGGCAGTTTCTTCACAGGAAATAAGTCACCAGGACACGTCGGGATCAGCCGCAGATACGAGGCTTCCACTCCTTAGCAGCACAAAGGGATTCTAATTTCTCCTTGTCCTCACCTAACTTATCAAAAGCAATGCAAACCCAGCTTCCCTCAACACAAAGAGTTGGGTTAATTTATTCAAATTAAACCTTGGAGTCTGAATCTTTAAGCTTCGTTTGATAAAAACCTGGTCTTGTCCCTTTCGGATCCAGAAGCCGAGCTGAGACTCTCCAGGCACAGCTGTGGGGACAGCAGCTCAGGGACAGCCCCCGAGTGCCACGGTGCCAGCCCTCGGCTTCTCGGAAGGGGCAGCAAAGTCAGGCAGCTGGGGCCAGGGCCCTCCTTGGGGCTTCCCAGAAGGAGCTCCGAAAACTTCCACCAATGAGCCCTGCCGCGGGCTTTCCTGCCTGGGTCGGCATCCACCGTCCTTCACCCCACGTGGGGTGCTTGTGCTGAACTAAACCACTGGCTCTGTTCTATGGGGAACTCCCAGGGCGCCCTCAGAAGTCTCTTCCCACTCCCTGCCAGGTGCAGAGCACAGTGCCTAGTGCAAAGCAGGCATCAAGGAAAGGCCCACGGGCACCGCAGAACCCAAGCTACGGCACCCTGCACTCCAGGGCAGCCGCTGACCTCAGCCAGTGCCCTGCGACACTCTCCAGCTCTAGTCCTCATTCCGAAGGCACCCGACAAGGTCATCCTGGGCACCCTGGCTGGGGCGTCCTTCCCCCAGCCAGTTTGCACAAAAGCAGCCCTCATCCCTGGGGCCATCAAACCAAGCGGCCAGGACACCTGCAGCAGCCTGGCCACGACACCCAGGACTGCACCCAGTGAGTTTCCAACAATGCTCAGCTGCAGTCTCCCAAACGCTAAGGGCCCTGTACCAAGGCTGGCAGGGCCAGAGGCAGCTCGAGGGTTCCCAACTGACCCTCTAAGGGGAGGTTCCTCCAGGTAATTTGCACCCGTGAGCAGCCACCCAGGTACTGAAGGTTGGGGTCTGCGGGCAGCAGGCGAGGGATACCGGGAGCCGTGGGATCGGGCATTGTGCCCACCTTCCTGCTGCAACTCTCAGGGAGACCCCATAGCCACCTTGGGCCAGGGGCACATAGGACTCATCTGACATCGCACCACCGGAGGAGCTGGGCGGCCATGCAGACACCAGGCTGCCAGCTCGGTGACAGCGGCAGAGGCTCGGGCACCACCCCGCGTGGGTGCCCAGCCCCTTTGCACCAAGGCCCCGGCCTGGGAGCGAGGCTCACCTGGATACCGTCCAGCAGCTTGCTCACGCACCAGTAGGTGTCGGCCTCCACGTTGCGCAGCAGCTCCGCAGGCACACGGGAGACGTCGAGCAAGTCCACATCGTCCTCCTCTACAGGGCCAAACAGGGAAAGACAAGGCAAAATTAACCAGGGGACCAAGCAGCGGGGGCTCCCCCTCCGCCCCATTCTTCACTGCACTAACTAAACGGCACATGCAGGCTTACACCTCATCACTTAACGCTTCTCAATTTTAATACCTAATTAGTTGCAGATAATTAATATTCTGAATCCCCTCCGATTAATTAACATAATTAATATATTGTAAATTATTGCTTCTCAGGCGTTTCACATTCTAATAAAGGAGAACCTAGAATATATTACTCAATTCCTAATGGAATCCAGAAGTTTCTCCATCAGACTTTTTTTTTTTTCTTTTGAGACAGGGTCTTGCTGGCCTCACGTTCACTCTGTAGCCCAGGCTGGCCTCCAACTCAGAGCAATCCTCCTGCCTCAGCCTTCCAAGTGCTGGAATTACACGGGTGTACCACCACACACAGCTCTCCATCAGATTTTTAAAGCCTTGCTTCTAAGATACGTATTTCTTCAGCAATAATCCCTGTAAAAACCTGTTCCCACGGTTGAAGTTTCCACAACCACCCTGCGTAAATACTTCTAAATGTGACCGAGTACCCCAGAAAGCAGGGCAAGATGTGCCTCAAAGAAAACACTGACAACAGTGCGCTCAATAGTTTCCCTGAGCCCGTAAGAGCCAATGAGAAAATATAACTTAAGAGTTCTTAGTGCAAAACAGATGCCTAATTGAAATGGCTTATCAGATATGTGAACAAACTAATTTTAGGTCCTTACAAAAATTGCTAGCACCCAGCAGAAAACTCATAAATGGTTTTTAAAATTATGTATCCCATTTTTCAATTTTCTCACTTTTGTTACATTTGCAAATGTACATGCATCTTTGCAAGCAAAATGTCCTTTCAGAAAAGAAACATTTTAAGCCAGAATGAATTTAGAAAGTTTTAAGCAGGAAAAAATCCCAGTAAAGCTAAGGACAATGCTAACTGCTAATGCTCACTGAGAGGTCCCTGGTGCCAGGCAGCCCTCTCTCTGCTGGGTTTGTGCCCCGCCCTCTGCTGTCACAGCTCTGGCCCGCTGCCCCATACCCGTGACGCACGGCACCCTGCACAGTCCCCAGCCCCCACTGGGGACGAGCACGCTGGCCCGTGGGCCAAGACTCACAATAGAAATCAAAACAATGTTAGGCTACATTCCCAGAGGCCCCCTCAGGTGGACAGCAAGGTCACGCAGCCCTGGGGCTCAGCCCTGTGGCAGGGCGGGTGGTGGTCCAGATCCCCAGCCCACCAGCGCACAGCAGTCAGTCTTAGGCATGGGGCTTCCTAACTGAGATGTAACTACAGGGTACTCAGCCGGACTACGGTGCCCGTAGTACTATGCACGCCCATCGCCTCATGCCTTCGGCTGTTGGCCTCACCCTGGCCTCCCCAAGGATGCTGGCAGCCATAACCTAGCTTCACCCAGGGAACTGCTGCCCAGACAGTCCACAAAGAGGGCTCCTACACTGCGGAGCTGTGGTGCGGGCTTCCTCTCACCAGCACAGCTTCCAGGGTATGCACAGCACAGCATGCATGGATTCATCTTCCTTCCGGGGCCGCATGGTGTTTCTGCACTGCCCAGCTGGCCCAAGGGTCGTCGCCACTGTGACTGAGGTGCACGGCAGATGCAGGCACCCTGCACGAGACCCACTGTACAACCAGCACACAGGGCACAGGGGCAGGCAGGGGAGCTGCTCCCCTCGAGACACTTTTACCTTAAGGTGAAAGGAGGAGGAGCCGGGGTGACCACCTGGCGGGGAGGTACAGGGAGGTCAGCTACTCCTAGGACTGAACTGCACAGGATTCTGTCCCTCACGGGGCACCAGACTCTCGTGCCTCACCACCCTCACTACCCCAGGGCTGGCCCAGAAAACAGACACGCACCAGCATGGCCTGGGCCTTCCCTGGGACCCAGGACTTGGAGGACGGGTGTGTGTGGCTGGCCACGGCTCCTCCCTTGGTCCTCCTTGTGACCTGACCTGGCTGTGACACCCACTCTAGCACACAAGGACAGCTCTGCCCACTGTGACCCAGCCCAGCAAAGTATCAGGCCTGGGAACCCTGCTGGCCAGGAGCACAGCAGTTGCCTGAACACACCCTCTCTGAATGCTGTCTCTGGAATCCCCCAGGGGAGCCGGGCAGTCACAAACGCAGGTGCCAGGTCTCCAGATGCTTGCTAGAGTGTGCCACAGACAGCACTGGAAGAGACAGGACAGAGCCATCACAACATCTATGGGAGTCACAGTACCCATAAGGGGCATGGCACCCAATGTGCCACACAGCTCCCATGTGGGTCATGGCACCCGTGTGACCCTGCTGTCTCTCCCCCGATGAACCTGAGGGCCAAGGGCACAGACACCGGTGCTGGCAGCCACCTCGCTGGGAAATGGCTTCAGCAGATGGGACCCCCATCCTGCTAGTCCAGAGCAGAGCTGATTTTATTTTGCAGTCTCAGTGAATGGAACCAGCAGCTGTGACCAAAGCAAGTCTCTGAGACATAGCCCACGGACACACTCTCCTTCTAGGACCTCCCAAGCATGGAGCTCGTTCCTCAGCTACGGGAAAAAGGAAACAGGGAGACAGAGCCCCAAGCCTTGCCTGGTCACAGAAAACAGGTGCTATGTGGGGTGCAGAAGCATCATTTTTCTTAGTCCGTTTAGCTGGCTTATTATACAACCCATGGAAATGTCAGAGGCCTATTCTAGGTGTCATTTCTCACAGCAGGCCATTTGTTACTCTTCAATGAAGTAATGGTATTTAACTCACAGAACCCCCCTGCAGATCTGTCTTCCAAATCTCAAGAGAATCAGAGTGGCCTTCCTGCTAGGAGGAGATAAACACCCCCGCCCAGGCCCCAGAGGACTTCACCCACGCTGGGGGAAGCACCAAGAGCAGCACGGCACACTTGGGAGCCCCAAGTGCAACCCAGAGGTGTCCTCAGCACAGGGCCCAGCGGAAGACAGAACACCGACAGCCCCACACCCAACCTGGGCAAGGTCAGCTCCCCTCCTCACTGCTGGAGGCCGAGCCGGGCGACCCCACGTTCCCTCGCCTTTGATCCTGCGCAGTGGACAGGCCGAGGGCCAGGAGAGCGGTGCGGGGCACATGGTGGTGCCAGCCTAACTGGCAGGCAGGCACACCCAGGACAAGAAAAGTAAGCAGTTCACCCCGTCCTCACTGGCTGAGTTCCATGGGGCGCACAGCCCAGGATGCACCCCTCGCCCGCTCCCTCTGTAAACACTTTGGGGTTCAAAGACAAACGATAAGCCACGGGTGGGGCGTGTCCAGTACTTTCCCCACCAGGGCTGGCACGGGGAGCCACGATGTCCTACCCTCCCCGCCCCCCGTCCTTGAGGGGCTTTCCAGGGCCTGACCTCAGTCCCTGCCACGGGCAAGGAGGCAATTTTTCTACTAGCAGCTTCCCGCTCAGAATTAAAGACTTTACCTTAAAATAGACATTTTAAATTTCTATTTCTTACCCTCGGGTACTCTCTAAGGTGACATTTATGCTAAACACGTTACTAAAAATAATGCAAACTAAACCAACTCATTTCATCTAAAGTTTGACTAGATTCTGGTCTTGATCATTTTGTTATGCGCTCACATTGACACTGGCAAGGGTGACACTGGGGTACCCTGCCTCTCTTCTCCCGAAGTACCCACAACTCTTTCCCACAGAGGCTGGGCCCTGTGCCCACTCCCTGTTCCTTCCCGGGCACTCAAGTTGAACCCTAAGAGTAGCAAAGAGGTTTAAAGTTCACAGTCCAACTCTGGAGAAGCTGGTCACTCTGCAGCCCGGGGCACAGGGGCAGGATCCCCAGTGTTCCCCTGGAACACGTCAGGTCGCAGGAGGGAAAAACACGCATGTAATTACAGATAATCTCCCCTGCCACCGCACACTGTAGGAACGCTTTGGGGATGATTTAAATAACCTTCTTGGAAAAGGCTGTCCTGCTATGTTAGGTACAAACGCAATCTGTAAAGTAATTCCCTTTCTATCAACAACTCTATTTCAAAAGCCTCACTGCCTCCCCTTGGTAAGACACAAGAACCCCAAGAACACGGTGCCCAAGAGCGCCACCAAGAGGGAACCCTGGACACCCATCTGGCTCTTTATTTTCTGCTGAAGGTACAGGGTGCAAAGGAAGTTTTCCCGAGGAATGGGTACTATTTTTGCAAATGGGAAGAAAATGGAATTTAAGCCACAGGAATTCAGCTGAGGTCTGCCCTGCAACCCCTCCCCATGAAGACTTCCCGAGCACAAACCTCCGAGGGCTGAGGTCCTGCCCTTGCAAAAGATTTGAGAAGCTGGGAAGCAGTCTGGGGTCAGCACGACTGGCGAGAGGACGCGGCCAGCATTCGTGGCAGGGGCAGCCTCTGCGCTCCAAAGCAGGGCAGCACTGCACAAGGACACAACTCCCACACTGGGGTGAGCTCAGAGTGACTGCCCGTCCGAGCAGATGGATGGACATTCGAGGGACATCAGTCGGCTGGGTCAGCAGGTGGATGGATGCTGACAGACACAGTCACGATAAAAGAACAGAGGCTGCCAAGCCTGGAAGCTGAAAACATACAGGGACCTAAGTGCTGTTTTGACATGCAAAAACTATTTCAGGGAAACAGCCAGAATTTTCTGTCCAACTTCCCCTGTCCGGAAGACAAAGGAAAGGCAAGCCCATGGGCCCCGCACCAAGAACATTCCTGGATGAGAGCGTGTGCTACGACAGCTGCCCGGCAGTAAAGACACCCGCCACCTGCAGCTTCTTCTGAGTGCACAAGAAGCCTGTGTGTGCACACCTATCTGTTCTGCCCCCAGAGGGGGACCAGCAGGGAGGTGACATGCTCTGAACCCCAGGGACCCCTCCCTCACTTCCACTGCCTGACAGCACGGCACAGCTCAGAGGGTTCAGGCTGGGTTGGCAGAAGAAGAGGCTCCAGTGGTCGCTGCCCGAATCTGCCCAGTGCAGCCAGAGCTCTGGAAA